GGCGTAGTATATACTTTAAGCTTACTTTTAATGGGTGCATGCGTATTCAGTAACGTTACCAGTGTGTTTTCATATAGGCATCAACAGAAGCAAAAGTGTTAATCGCAGCGTTACTTTTATGAGCTAAAGCTGACGATTTCATATCGGCACAGAACAAATCAAAGTTTGTCGACTTGATGTCCTGAAGCTAATGCTCTTCCTTAGAGAATAATGTTTAGTAAATAGTAACTTACAATTTACTGCAAAATGGTCCGAGATACCAGGATCAATTACATTTACGTCCGACACAAATGTTTTATGTGATCTTTGTTGATATTAGATCCAACATATGACCTTTTTATTGGTGGCAACAAGCAAACGATTTTTATATTCAAACGAAATAATCAAAATTTTATACTTTTTTCACCGACACATTCTTTATGTCATTAATTAAGAGGACATCTCCACTGTCATGGCTCGCAACCAGTATTTTCAGCACATTAGAAAATTCACTAAAAAAGGTAGCTTCATTTATTTTGTTCTTTTTTGGCGTAGGAGGACGATCGACAATAATAATTTTCAGTCTTCGATACAGATTTCATAGTCAGATCCATATTATTCGAATGATTGGAACTCTCTAATGCCGGCCTTGTTCCCAGGCGCTTTAAATAAAATAAATATAGGAACACTACACGCTTTTACATAGATCAGCGCGCAAGGAGTTTTGGGGAGGACGCGGGAAAGGAAGCGCCTGGCAGAAAATGGATAAAACATGGCGGCTCACGATTTATGAGTTCACTTCACTGTTGTTTATTATTCAAAAGTGCAAAAGAGGAACTTGTTAAAATATTAATTCCGCCCGAATTTTTAAGAGCGATACACAGAAATATATGCACAAAAAATTTTATGCACGAATGAGGAGTGTTTAGGTATTGCACTGTCATCATTTCCAAATAAATAATTTTCAATTGGGTTTTTCAATTTCTACATGAAGAAGAAACAAGAAAATGTATAGATAAGATATTTGATTGTGGTATGCACCTCTAGATAAATATATTTTAACTCTTATGAAGTTCTGAAATAGATCATTTTGTATTTTTATTAGAATTTGGGAAACGACCCTTGAATGGCCTTGATAGTATGCTTTTCTCCTCACTGGACAAATCAAGGGAAGCCATCAACAGTGACTGCTTTTTAAATTCCACAATTCATTCCAAATCTGGGCCAATCTGTGCCTTCTTTTATTGCATTGGCCACATGACAAATTATATGCTAGAATACAGTAGCCAGTATAGGTATAATGCATTAAAAAAGAAATGTGATAAGAGGTTATATATCAAGTTGAATACATATACTGTATTACAAAATGGTTACTTACATGCAAACCTATTGGACTTGGATTAAAGTTTCACATGGCCAGAAAATTCGGACATAATTAACATTCTACTTCTGCCTAAATTTGCATATGGAGGTCAAAATAAAGCTTCGTGAGCTTATAGTAAACTGTAATGTGCACAGTACTAAACGCTATAAATACTGCTTTAGGTGGTCGATTATAATTTGCCTTAATTGCTCGTTGCAGAGAAAGTTAATCTTAATATCTTGAGGCAGTGTTTCAAAATGTTTTATCAGTATTCGTCCTGCATTTTCAAAACAAAGTTTTGGTCATTTATCACGTTGAATACCATATAAAACGAAAACCGCAATAGCATAGAAATGAAATAAAAATGCAGAGCCGACATAAACCTTTACCAGCAAAATATTACTTCAGGATCTTTAATATGACACGAATTACAAGAAACAACCGGGGCAAGTTGCAAAGATGCAATGATTTTCTTCAATTTTGCGAAATTTAAGAATGCGTAATATAATTTATAGTTCTGCAAACAAATAATATTGGAACAGATATGCAAATATGCTACGGCAATCTGCATATTCCATGTCCGCAATTTCTGGCCATGACAACATGCAGAGACAGCGGATGTTTTCCTGGTCTTTTATCAACTGCTGACTAGTAGCATCAGGCTTTAGATGTCTTTGAAAAGGTGTTTTAAAAACACAAATATGTATCATAACCTGTTGGACATAACCCATGAGGTTGCATGTAAATGGCAATAACACAATGAACACTAAATGTAATTATTGCCTAACAATCTCTGTAACCCCCTCCTCTCTATCTCTGACAGTGTGCAACACCATACATGAATTATAATTGTAATATGGTATAATATAATTATTATATGGTGTATATATGAATTATATTTTAAATTAAATTTAATCTCCATGAGTTATGGTGGTTTATTGACCCAGACATCCATCTGCAAGTGAAGATAGCTTTAGTTGGCTGCTATATAGACTACATTTAGAGTATTCAAGCAGATATCTCCTGCTGGAGATAACTATATGAAATCGCTGGAAGTTCCTAACTAGCACACAGTCATAAACAAAAAATAGCACTTGTTGCAGGATTTTTATTCTGGTTAAAATGATCTCCTAGATTGTCGAGTTATTTTACACATTACACATTGGTATATTATGGTGAACATGTGTACAGTATTTATTGTTAAACACAGGAACATGTTGGGGCATACAAATGAAAGACATACTGTGAGGCAAATCAATGTAAATGTCAACTTCAGGTTTGACTGGCAGAGCTGGCCCAGTTAACATGCATAAAAAGTATTTGAAATATACATACTATATCACATTTAAAAACATAAAAACATGCGCATACATATATTTTAATATCAATGGAAAATATACCAGCTTAATGTACTCAGCAGATAGAATAAAATTCCAAAGCTTATACCAACTGACTTACTTTGAACATTTTGTCCCCCAAGCGACGATAAATCCAAATCATCATAACTTGAAGGTGCTATTGTAAGGATAATTTTATCATCAGAATATGATAACGGTCGATGGATATTATCATTAGCATATCTAAGAATGACACGAAAGATTCACTGACAGTCTACTCTAAAAACGTACTAAATATTATATAAAATGCAATCAAATTCTATAAAAAATATTACCGTCAAACGAGAACTTCTTTAGCGATTGCTCCAGGTCATCCATATGGCCACAAACCCCCCAAAACGCAAGAATGCACGAGTAAAACGCCGAAAAAATATATGCATTTTCTGCCAGGCGCTCCATTTCTCCGTCGCATCCTCCCCAAAATTCCTTGCGCGCTCGCTCTGCTTAGCCATTGATCTATGTAAAAGCCTGTAGTGTGCCTATATTTATTTTATTTAAAGCGCCTCGGAACGAGGCTGCTCTAATGCTAAAATATCCAGTTTGTTAATAACTGCCCAGTCCAAACATATTTATTTGGCAGACGCATTTGGGTAAATTCAATTCCATATGTTTACAGAACAAAAAAATGAACAATTAACAAATCTCAAACTCAAAACATGAAAAACCAGCACATGCCTATATATCGCAATTTATAGTTTGAATTTGAACCTCCCCGTTCGGAAACACTCGATCTCGTGCAAGGGCGGATCTAGGGGTAGTCACACCGATCACGCGACTTACGTAAAAATTTCGAACCAATCAAACGCAGTGAAATCATATTTTTTAGATCGCAGTCCTGTTGTAAATTGGTCCTGTCGCATAGTAATTTGTGCGCTCATAAAATGACAGTGGTCATATTTTGGTTTATTATCAATATTAGTAAAATCAAGTGCCCTGATCACGAATCTGCTCTTATTTTTTATCCAAACCTTTTCCTTCTTGAGTTATTGAATGGGGAATATTTAAGTAGGCCGCCATCTTGAATGGATTCTCAAACTCATTATCTTTTCATCACGTGACCGCGTGACGTCAACAGCAGGTGAAGGAGTACTCAAATCAAATCATTTTGTAAGGAAGCGGTCAGTGTTTTCAATACTTTTGCTCTGTTAGTGGAATTTCGGCTTCTGAAATGGAAGATATACACAAAAACCATGCAAGTAGAGGAAATACTACCTTACTCAATATGAGCCTGAACCGGGGTATACAAGCAGCGACAAAGGCTACTCGGATAGCTCTGAAAGCGACATAATTTCAGACTCAGATGAGGAAGTTGACCATGCCTTCGATGCTGAACATGGTTGGCGCCTTCAAAGCTTGGGGTGGTGTAAATGTGGCCATTGCACGCTCAAACCAAAGGCCATCGAATCATTTTGTTGCCATGAGAAGGCACTAGAATATGACGAGTACGACAATTTGTTAAATGAAGCAGAAGCGAATGGAGAAAGATGCCTGACAGCACATGGTAATTTCAAAGCAAATATGCTTTCGGAAAGCGTGTACAGACTAGTTGCATACCAACGATGTTCGCGTTAGATATTCCAAATTTTGGGGAGAAAGAAGAGAAGGCCGTTTCCTGCGTGTGTTTACACGAAAATTCGAGAACAGTTTGCCTCACATGATGGAGTTTATACTCATTTCAAATACGCAAAAAAATCAAAACAGTAAGTAAATGTTAGAAATAAAATGTATTTATGTTACAACCCATATAATTCTATAGCCTAAGTCCCCATTTAATTATCTATAATAATTAAATGTTGCTATTTTATTATTTTACAAACCAGCCTGAAGATTTACAGCCTCTTCCAATGAAAAGCAAACAGAAATATTAATGATATAAATACAATATTGATATATACATCTGTAATATATTGTACAGATAAGATTATTTTTAGCCCAAGAAGAGCCGAGCAGGCTGTAAATGTATCACCACCCTACTACGGCGGGACTAATCAACTAACTAAAAATGGACAATAATATTATGTTCACTCACGATTCTTACACTTGTCTACTTTGCATTTACAATTAGTATCATGCACACATTAGCTCATCAGCCCTGCAACTACATTTCCTAGTGGCACATTCAGGGCCGAAACTAGAACGATAATTGGGGGGGGTGTTTATCCATATATTCAGTTCTGCCCTGCGGATTTCTTTTGTAAGTGCAATAGCTCACAATGGAAATCCGTCGGGCAGAACTGAATATATGAATAAACACCCCCTCAATTATCGTTCTAGTTACGACCCTGGGCACATTTTCCTTTACATACACAAAGTGTGTGATTTGGACCATGCTCTTTACTTACAGGTAAAGCTGGCTTAGAAAATCGCGACTTTCTGCCGTCCACCACTAGCTGTTTAGATGGCCCTTCCTTTCCGCCCAAGTACTTTTGCACCAGAGATTGTGGCTCGACTGACAACACCTTCTCTGCATGAACTCTAGCTTTCTTCAAAGTACTGTATTTGACTCTATTTTGTACAACTTGACTCATTATAACATCTATGTATCCTGCAAAAATTATGTGTGGGTGAGTAAAAACAAAGTTTTGTTTCACATCTGTTTTTAAAATTGATGGAATAATCTCCAGTCAGAGTATTTTTGATTTTGAAAACAGAACTGGAGGAAAACCTTGATTTTATAACATCTTATTTATATATTAGAGTTGCGGGCATTTACATTTTCTACATTTGTTATTTGTTAGTTCATTTATTATAACAATATATTTCATATTTTGCGTGGGATTATAGATAAGATAAAGAGTATTAATGATAAATAGTATTAATTGACTCGATTTTAATATACAAATTAATTTTTACCATAAGCAGGCTTCTCTTTCAATGGTTTGGCAACAGCTTTTTCGCCTTTAAAAGCTTTTGGATAAACAATTGCCCATTGAGCAGTGCTGTCAGCTTTTGTTGCTTGTTTACGCTTGCTGTTTTCGTTATAATGTAGATTTGCACAGAATAACCTAATAAAACACATAATTCATAATATGAGTAGGATTACAACCTGTCAAATTAGAGAACTCAAATAGGTTTCCCACCTACCATGCACTCAGTGAATGATAAGAATGATAGGTATTCTTTGAAGCAAGAAGATTATCCAGTGCATGCCTGGCCTCCAACCCTGATGTTTGATGATACTGGGACAATTTCCTGATTGCCGCAATGAGACGCGGTCTTGTCAGTACCTCTGCCAGCTTTTTGTAAGCTGCACACCCTATAAGACACATCAATATTGATACCCTGAAAATGCATCCTTGGGGCTTTCTATCACATACAGTACAACCCTTCATCTTATGGCTAAAGTAAATATCAGTAACAAAAATATATAAACAGCAAACCTGGTTTAAGCCAGGCTCTTTCAATCACATCATGTTCACATTCCATGAAGATCACATGCCCTTCATGTTCATGTATGTTGGCAATGTGATTCATGATACTGCGCTATTTCTCCTCTCGCTCATCAGCAGTTTCACTGGAGTTCCAAACCTGGTAGATGTGGTTATAATTGACTATAATTATAAGTAAAAGTAATAAAATTATGAGTTTACATAATAGGGTTACCTCAGACTGCTGGGTCTTAACTACCTTAACACATTGGTGGCATTTGGACAATATTAATCACATACATGTGCTGTACTTTGGTTGTAACTTTGTGTAATCCTGTATATTTTAGGAGGATCATGAAGGGCATAGCTTGGTTAGGAAATGATCCAGCTTGTTGCTATAAGTATTTGTTTGCCAAAACATGGTGAATCACTATCTTTTTAATCATTGGGCTGGGCCCCAATGGTGGAATTTTTACAATCCCTATAATTATGTATTTTGAGCAAAAAGGCGGAACAACCAACATACATGCACAGATAGAAAGCATAAGTTACTCACATGAATGTATGGCCCAATCGATTTGAATTTCCTTTTCTTTGCAAGCTTTGTCAATCTTTTCTTAATTCTCTCTTATGGTTTTCTTATTAATATAAGAGTGTATTATACCACAACCTATTTTGACACTACCTAAACTGTTTCACATGCCATAATGTAACTCAAAGATCATGAGCAATAATTGCTCCTTGCCTGATTTCCCCTCTGATAATGCTATAATTATGGTTCTATATTTTATTTATTTTTTGCTACATCATGCCACACATTATAGCAATGTTCAACTTGCGGTCGTTCATTTGCCATATAGGTAGACACTTGCCCATAGCGATCTGTCACCAGTTTTGAAACACTAGTACTAGTACCATTTTCTTCTAAATACTTTAGGTGCCGCTTCAGTGACTCCAACTCCATTGCGTTAGAGTTCTTTACCTCAGTAGACTGTTGAAAAACACATACAACTGTTTAGAACATATTTGGTGTAAATTGTAATTTAGGAAAGTGCAATAACCTTAAAAACTGTATACACAATGCTCGGAAAAAAAGGAGCAAAATACAGTTTGTGTAGGTGTGTTACAGAAATTTAACATCTGATGATATTGATATTATATCATATATATAACAAATATTATATACTTTTAATATATTATACCATATTTAATATTGGTTGATGGTTACAATATAATACAGAAATAATGATCCATAAGTAATTATGGATAATTATTTCTATATTATAGACCATAAATCATAGTTACATGCTGTACCTTGATTACTTGTGTACTCAAGATGATGTTTCTTTCGGCATTCAATATGCTCCCTGAACCCAAAAGACCACTATATGTCCAGGACTATCGACCCGCATGTCATATACAACAATAACAGATTTGTTTGCGACTTCAGCCAGCCTAGACGATTGTTCTTTTTGTTAAACGTCGTAGACTGTAGGGACGACATGGTACCTGAAAATTCTGGAGAACTCTCGCTGTTTCACATTTGGGATTTTCAGTGCTTGAAACAAACGCAACACCTTAGACACCTCCATCCCAGTTGTTAGAATACCTGATGCCAGCAGCAAATGGAATGCAGGCATACCATGCACAGTTGGACCGGTGACCCACACAAAACAATGGCGGCTTTCCTTCAGGCATTGGCTGCTAATTGTACACAATGATCCCCGTTGTTTTTCCACCGTGACAATACATTCACCGTTACATATGTAACAGGTGCCAAACACATCCAAGACGCTGTCCTCAAACACCACAAACTTCATTTGCTGTTCTGGTGGTTTTCCCCGCTTTAAGATGACATTGACAGCTGACTCTTCTTCCTCAAAACTATCCTCGCTATCTGATGGTTGATTTTCACTGTCCACATACATAGGGTCCTGTTCAACCGACTTATCACTGCCACTGCTCACTTCTACTTCGCTTTCGGGCTCGGTGATAGTTGCACCACTATTGTTGTCACATTTTGGGGTTTCCCTAGCTTCGCCTCTGTCGTTTCGGTTTCGGTTGATAAACATTCTTGTTGCTTCTCGTCAAAGAAACGGTATGTCGCGTTGATGACAGTTTGGGTCTTTATCGATCGCAATTGTTACTATATTAATAATTACTATAGTTAATACTGCCTTGACAAATACCGTATGATACGAATGAATATAATATATTCTTCAGTATCATCTATATGTCACTATGAATATTTTGCGGGATCAAAGTACCTTTTCTCGTTGTCTTCTCACACTGGCGGCTCTTGATTTTTCCGTGGCGACCTCTACAGCGCTAGAAACTGCAGCGAACCTCCTGGTTCATACGCGTCTTCCTCAAAATGCTTTGAGCATATTCTTGTGCACGATGAAGGTCGGAACGCTTTTCGCTTGCAAAATTCTATCCACACTTTTCGTCTTTGCTTTTGCGTCGTTGATGTTCCAGACGGAAAGGTGAAAAAGTGCGTTGGAGAGTCCGTTTGTTTCTTGCTATCGCTGTTACAGCCGTAGACTGGACAATACATGTCTCGTCGAGAGGTGCGTGCCAAGTGAAGTGAGTAACCACATGAGTATGCCTTATTATTGAGCGTGTGCGGGGAAGATGTTTAGATCCAGGGAGGCCGACAATAACAACGAAGTATCGTACCGCAAATCGGAACGGAAGTTAAACATGTTGTACTCTTTTGCTCAATGTCTGTGATAGGTGATACCGTCCATACCGAAGTCATTCTTAGCCGCCAAGAAAAGACCGAACATCTGAGGTATTCGACACGTTGCGGTTCCGTTAAACACGTTTCATTACAACAATAACGTTGTCTGATACCTGTAGCTGAGCACCATAAAGAGCAGTATTGTCCAGTCTTTACAAAGTTATACCCACAGAGAGTAAACTTGCTTTGTATTCTTTGGCGCATATCATGTTTACTTTGTTACCTACTGTTGACGTCATCAATTAATTTGGCATAATTCACTTTCCTCAAGATGGCGGCCTACTTAAATATTCCCCATTCAATAACCCAAGAAGGAAAAGTTTTGGATAAAAAATAAAAGCAGATTCGTGATCTAACCTTGACAATAAACCAAAATATGACCAATGTCCTTTAAATTAAATAAATACTGATCTCTATCGATTTCCTCGCTCCTGAATGCAAACTTGCTCAATCTTTTTCATTCGTTTCTATGAAGACAAAAATTCTGCCAGTTCTGGAGGTTTGGTCTGCTCGTTTTGGAGGTTGGTTAGGGGTGTTTCTCATCAATCTGATTGGCCCATTCGGTACTTTCCATGGAGACAAAAATTCTGCTCGTTCTGGAGGTTTGGTCTGCCCGTTCTGGAGGTGTTTTTATCCACAAAAGGTCCCTTCGTAAACTTTCTACATTTTTATGTGTCCTAGGGATGTTAGCAGACTAGCCTGGCATCGATTGAAACTGGGATTTTTCCTGCATTATCTTTCGTATGAAAATAATTATATCGAATCAGCTAGTATAAACTGTAAAATATAACTAATTTCATCAATCTAGAGGGGTGGGTGCTAGCATTTTTCTTACTTCGTATATGTAGCATTGACCTGCGAAAATCTAGATCCGCCCCTGTTTGTTATATCTACGATATAAAATCATGAACAAGTAATATCTTGTTTTTTAACGATTTACATTCAGCATGCTAAAATGTATCGCTAGGCTTCTTTAGAGGGCTGAGCCATGGGTGTACAAGCAATTGAAATCAAGCTGTTTCGCTAAGGTTGTTCCTTATTAATATTCAGATATTCAGCAAATTCTGCTTTGCCGTATGTGTTTCACGTTCGCCGTATAAATTTTAATGCTTGAACGGCTGAGGGTGTGTGCAGTCGTTCAAGCTTTAATTTTTATACTGACGCGGCGAACGTGAAACATATACGGCAAAGCTGAATTTGCTGCTTTTCTAAATACATCAAAAATAGTCTTTTGCTTTCTTACATTACTGCTGAACATCACAAGTTTTATGTAGAACGTTTGTAATTTAGGCTTAGCGAAATTACCGCACACTTAAAGATAGTGGAGTTAAAACACAAACTTTGTTAGCGGTTTGGTGTTTGCCGTAAACGTCAAGCTAAAAGTCTCTAATGTCCTTCCAATCGATGTTATGGAAATGTTCAAATAATAAGCAAAACTTATAAAGCAAGTCACTCGTAAAAGCCGGTTAACTCGCTTATTTCTCACGTTATTTCGAGTTCTCTCAAACTCCCGAAAATATATATAGAAAGGCAGGAAAAAAGTTTTCTACTTCTTTTATAATGTGATTAAAAATAAATTTGTACAAATAATTCATTGCATTACTTAATTCGCTTTCCAATTTCGCCGGGAGAAGTCTCGACCAATCGCACACGCGTTCTATATATATAAATGTGATGTTATAAAGCCATGCAAAACCTTAGAAAGTCGTGCAAATCATTACTTATTTATGAAATACATTACGTTGAAAACATTAAGTTGGAAACATAAAGGCCTGATATGATTTGCGAGTTTACCATAGACTAAAATAAAAATGCTCAAATTCGAGTATAATTTTATTAGCATACTGAGTTGGCAAAATTCACTTTCGTTTTTTTTATAGGTTTTTTTTCTAAAGCTTAGTAATATTAGTACAAACTACTTTACTGTAGATAGGAGTAGATTTCCTTGTTGGAAAAAAATATCCTTTGGCGAATTAATATAAAATATTAAATGTTTGGTTAATTTTCACATTAATTATTAATTGATATCATATACATGCATTATATAGGTGAGCATTTTTGGTGTGAAATAAGGATAAAGGATTCTTATACGAAAATGACATTTCATTTTTGCAAAAGGTGACGGAGATATGTCACGATTCTACGACTTTTCTTGTAGTCAAGAACAAAGATTTTGAAATTAAGTTCACTCTTTTCTAAGTGAATTGAACCCGCAAATTTTGTTTTGAAGAGCGATGAACCGACAACTCTTTTATCATTGCGAATTGCGGGGAACTTGAGAAAATATTTACACTAGATATGCATTAAAAGCATATAACTATATTTTTAACTTACGCGTACAATAACCGCAGTAACAGGTGGCCTTTAGAGATGTTTACAAATTTCCCCATTCAATACATGCAAGCAGTCACGGCTGTATTGTTACATCGCAAGCAACCTTCGCTACACGTACTTTATATCTGTCCATTGTTGATTTAACTTGTTCGCAATTTCAAGTATTCAAAAGCAAATCCTAAGGTCGAGTTGAAATATCCAACATCGGTAAGATTTTGAAGAAATATCCAATTTTAAAATAGGAAACGATCCTTAGTTACCTACAACTTTGCGTTCCTTCCTTCAATCTTTCTTCTTTTTCTTTTTATTCTAAGCCCGTTCTTTCATCTCTCGTTTCCTCCTATATGTTTCCCAGCTTCTAGGTCTAGTTGGACTAACAAGTTCGTCAGTTCTTGCGCTCAATTTATTCGATTTATTTTATTAATCTTAATTTTGTTATCTAGAAACACGTACGCAATTAAAATGCATATTCAACACTGTTTTTTGATCTACTTGTTGGAAAGTCTCCACCACTTTGCTGTGCATTCCGCTTGCGAGCTTACACCACAAGTGAAGTTTCCTAACGGAAAACAAGAAAATAGTCGCTTGGAAGGCCTGGTGCTAAGCACCACGTCAGGAACAGCTTTGGAATGTTTTGGAAAATGTGTCCGAAATTGTCATTGTAAGTCAATCAACGTCTGCGGGACGACGTGCGAATTAAATTCTGGCAATCAACGCGACAAAACGCCGAGTAACGACCAAGGCTGTACCTATTACGAGCTGTCATTTGAGAGTCAAAACTCGGTAAGTTAAATAATTTTATTAAAATAATGTGAGTAAATTAAATATTTATAACAGAAAAACATGCATACAGCATCGCCCCTCGCCATTTCAAACGAAGCAAAATATTTCCTGAGTTAGCCAGACCTAACCCTCAGTATTTTGAAATGACCTTAATGTAAAGCAGATAGATGATGTCTCAAATTTTTTGGAAACAAACACAGTGAAATCACCTGTTTTCCTGCTGCATTACGTTGCATGTAATTATAGACTTTCACAGTTTATTAAACATTCAAAGCATCAAAACAGCATGTTGCTTTTCGATTACTCAATTCATGCCGTGATTGCAGTCCACTCCATAGAAACTTTATAGGGATATTTATTTGTTATATGAAAACTCGGAATTACGCTTTCAAGAACTCTTTTTGAAGTTAAAACGATGATGTAAAGCCTTAAATAGTCGATTATGTGACTTATGTCTTCGCAAAACCGAGCAAAACGACATACTGTACCAAGGTCATAAAATGTATTCGTACAGTAAACACCTACCATTTCTAGGATTATAAACTACGAGTTGTGCCTAATCACCAGTCTTCACTCCTTCAAGTTTTGCGCGTGCGCACAAGTACCATGACCATTGAACGTCCACGGTCTATAACAGAGAATTTGGGTAACTGGATTCCGCTATGTTGTGTCACAATTCCCGGGTGTAATTAACCTCCCAATGGAATAAGTACCCTCTCGCGGAAAATAGGCGAAGTTGTTTTTGCTCCAAATTCGCGGGAATGTATGCTAATATAATATGTCACATTCAGGATCGCGCAGGTCTGATCTTAGGCGGTTAAAATCACCTGCGAAGTTTGCATATAATTATGTTTCCTGAAATTATATTTTTTTAACCCACGCAATATTCTTGTATTTTGTTAGTTCAACTTAAAATGCGAGCGATCGATCTGTAAGGGTTTTTACATAACGAGCTTAAGAAATGAAATGAAATGAAATGATTAAGTTTAATGCTTATATATTAGGGCATGTGTGTAACAAAGTTATTAATACTAATCAAAGTTAATATATGAATTTTTAATTGAAAAGACCTTGATGGAGAATTACAGATGTATACATGTGACCAAAATACTGCGCAATGATTGGACGTTAGATCATGAATTATTCATGATTTCACAATTATTGTTATCGCCCATAACAATCTTAAATTATTCACTATAATTAAAAAACCATTAAGGAGTTACGATAACTGTGCACAATCATTAAAGATACCTGCAGACTAACTTCGCCATTACAATAAGGCAACACATAAGTCTTGACCTACATATACATAATAATTATAGCTTGAAATCTTTAGGCCCTTTAAAGGAGGCAATATGCTTTCTAACATACCTTTAGAGTTGGACATTAAGTATAAAACTTTAGATTCTCTAAAAACTTTTAAAAACGAACTGAAAAAAAGTTTCTTGGAACAACTATATAGTTGAATACTTACAGTACTTTTGTCTTGATATTTTATATAAATGTCTTATTTATTAGCGTAGATTAATTTTGAATTTTAAAATTTGTAAATAGATTAATTAATATCTTATTCATTGTAAATTAGTGTTGAAAAACCCTGCTTGGGAACACAATAAAAAAAGTTTGTATTGTATTATAAAACGACAGGTATGTACACGCGGGATTGCAGCCAGCGTTATAAATGTACCCTTTATTGACCAGAGATGCGTTCAATGCATATAAATAGATATAATACTCTTTACTACAATTTCAAGATTCCACGTTTCTGCTGTTATAGTCTTTTCCGTGTATGTAAAAAGCCTGTTATATGGCATGAAGAACAACTAACAGTCAGAAATTCCGCTTATTTCAGGGTACAACAGGAGGAAGCTGCACTCAAAAACAAAGCTGTTCGTGCGCAGGTAACCCATGCATGAACGGAGGAACTTGCGTTGAGCAATGTCCAACTGCATCAGGCAAACGGCATCGTTGTAGTTGCCCAAAACATCTTGGAATTAGAGGTGAACGTTGTGAAGATCTCCCAAAAAGCTGTAGATCCATATATGATGCAAATCCTGGAAGTCAATCTGGAGTGTACACATTGTACGATGATCTAAACCAAGCTTTTCGGTCTTTTTGCGACTTCACATTGGTTGATGGTAAAGTGTGGACCTTGGTCCAGTCATTTTCAAGGGGGAATCGGGTTTATTACAAGAAAAAACAATTATTTATTAATAACCCAAGATCGCAAGCAAATCCTGCTTTTAACGATTTTCGCCTTCCTAAGGCAACATTTACTAGTATCCAGAAGAACTCGACCCACTTTCGAATAACATGCAACTATGATCCGCATACGTTCGCCGATACGATCGATTATGTCCGTCTAAAAACTAGCACGGTCGACTTTTTAACCTATAATAGCGACCATGTTACTGATAAGTGCATTTTGGTGGAATACTTGAACATCCGTGGTGGATCATGTACTGACTGTACAGTGGCCATAATGCAGACCTCGGTATACAACATCTACACAAGCGTATATGTAAATTCAAATTACGGCTGCGACTGGCAATACCCCAATGGGCATGCCACGTGTGAGGAAAATCTCGGGGGTTACGACTGTTATAATAATAATTACAGATGCTCCTCGTCTTCAACATCAACCTCTAATACCTGGTATGGATCTTAGCGTGCTTCTTAGTATATTTTCATTATCGAAGGACGTTTGAATTATTATTTCTCATTTGTTTAAAGACACGATAATTTTATTTCAAATATAATAAAACTTTTCACTTGAAGCAAATAATAACATGTTGCACCGTATCACAAGGAGCTGGTAGATCAATTATTGCACTGAAAAATTCCACGAAAAGCGGCGTACAATCCACTCCAAGTCAAAGCCTGATGTATTAATTGCCTGCATGGTATAAATATTGCTATGTTACACACCCTTTGTTGTATATATATTTTATTCATGTATCTTTCAAAAAATTCCAATACTTATTGATAGCACTTACCATATTTAATCTTATATACATGCATGACTAAGAAAAAAAGGAGATATTTGCCGTAGCAAATAATAAGTTCATTGCTTGCGTGTATTATTCTTAGTTTATTTGTAGTTTGTAGATAACGTTATAGCTATATATGGTAGCGCACGCGTAGAGCAATGGAGGGAAACTATTTTGTAAACTGGCCTATCTATAGATTTGAGTACAGGGAAACTTTGTTACGTTTTGGAAAACGTGCTTTCCTGATTTATTCCTAGCGGAATGAGAAAGTTCAAGGCTATTTGCACTTTGTTACAGTTAAGTAATATCCCCCTCACGTGCATGGAGCATGTTTCACGTGCACAGTCAGCATACCTATATAAAGAGATCCGAAAGGTTCAAGGTCATTCTATATTTGATTTCGTCGAAGCAATTTCGGAAGTTTTCACCCGACCCTCCTTCCCTTTCTCTAGGTTGTGAGCTACGATAATTTCTATGTAATTATGATGGTGTGGGCGTTTTTTATCACCCCACCTTTTCTGCGCTGTACTAAAATACGAACATTTAGCTATAATTTGTTACTTTTGGTTGAATTAAATCGGCATGTGCTCTGGCACACTGCCATTATTTTATCCAAAAAGTGTCATTGTTTATTGCAGTTGCATGCCTTTAATTTGCCCAGAAAACAGAGCTCACCAGTCTCGGAAACCGCCGGGACTTCCTATAGGGTTCGTAGTTGAAACGGAAGCGATAACGATGTCAAATAAACATCTATAAGTATAGTGTGCTTCTTCGGTCACAAAACGGCTTTTAATGCTACGTGCAATTGAAGAACCTTACATAGCTATATATCTTTATTAAATCATTACCAGAAATTGGTGACAAGATGGGTATCGCTTGTGCGTTAATTTGCATTTAATCCATACATAATTGCCTTCGAGTTTTACTATAAAATACATTGAGTGGATATATAAAACGTCGTAACATCGTAACGACTTGAAGCACTCTTTGCCGACCGCTACATGGGTAGACCAGCTTTTTAGAAACGTTTTGGCAATCGATTTTCTACCTTGGGTATTTTTGAAGTCTTCCAAACTTAAAAATATATCACCCAAAATTTGGCCGTGTTCTCTCAACGAACTTATAAAATCGCCTACATTCATACGAACATTTCGATTTGGATTGTTGATGAATTGACTTTGTCTTTCGTATTCCTATAATATGAATTTTCCTTTACGACCCGGATTTTTTTTTGAATTAATTTTGCACTTTGAAAAATTATTATCAGTCTCATAAGGCTGTTCAACCAAGCATTCAAAGCGTATATACAAATTTGAACACAGTCGGTTGGCGGAACGTAGAAATACCCATGCATTGTAACTAATTCGAGCATCAAATTGTTGTAAAACGGCTGTTCTATTGATCCAGAGGTCGGCAAACAGTGCCCACTGCGCAACATCCAGGGCAACGGCAATTTCAGGTGTTGTACTTTTGCTATAAAATTATGTATTTTATAGTAAAAGTTAAAGGCCACAATTGTTGAAAGTTACATGCAAATTTGTATATAATATTATATGCAAATCACCATGTGGCAAATTTGTGGTAATGCGTTGCCATAGCGAGACAAAGAAGCATCTGCTGGAGGTCAATTTATATAGTTTCTTTTACACATAACACTACACGCTATCCACTCTTATGCACGTAGTATAATTATTTAAACGTGTCTTTAAAAACTCATGCAGGTGCATCCTTACAGGTTTCCATCTTTTCATATGCAAATCGTCCAGAATTAAACGTTGGCTCATTCTGTCTTACGAATGAATGACAATGTATGTCATTTTTATTCTTCTTTTCTCATTAAAAGATATACCTTGCTACATTACAGGAGAGAAACGCGTAAAACAACCATCGTTGAACAAGCAAATGCATTTCAAGCCAGTAAAAAAATATGGTGAGTAAGATATCATGGGATGATTTATCAGTTAGATAGACAGAAACGAGGAATTAACGTTTTCTATCTGAACTCTTGCTGCAAAGTTAAAATAGCCTGGCTTTAAAAGTTCCTTCAATTCGTGATTAATTTATTATTGGGCCAAGAATATATAAACACCGTGTAGTAGAAAAATTAAAAAACCGCCGCGCGGCTTAACTTTGTCTATATTTAATGGCTATGCCATGAAGCGTATCATGAGTTGCCTGACATTCGCAACGGATGTCTATGCGATTAAAAAAGACATATAAATTCCTGTACGTTATTTTTAAATTCATAATGATCGTAGCTATTTTTACATGCAGAAAAATATAAAAACGCGTTATTGCAAAACGCTTTATTTTGTACACGGGGGAATAAAAAATATGCAATTTATCGCCCAAAGGAAAACTTTGTATTATGAAGGGAAAATACTCCTCAGCTTTTCAGAATTAGCTTCAGAATACCGTATTTAGATCCAAATAATCATATTGATATGCGCTCTGCAGAAAAGAGCCAAATTTAATGCAATAATTATTGTGTTGCTCATTCCCGTTCGGTTGTAAACGTCGCAAACAGCTAATTTCGATTTTATTTACGAGTATTTTTATTTCAAGTTGAAATTGTATTATCTTAAAGCTAAAACGTTTATCTATTTGTGTAAGCCCTATTTTAAACGCCGCATTTTGGTCGCGTCGAATGCAATTCAAACGCTAGATAACGAGATGAGACGATGTATTATCTATTGTTTGAATTGCATTCGGCGCGACCAAAATGCAACATTTAAGTTTTTTTAAAAGGTTTCTTGGCACAGATATTTTACTGACAATAGTATACTTTTTTAAATTAAATTTTAAAAAGTCGTAAATGTGCTAAATCTTTCACGAATTTCGCCAAAAAACCCCCAAATATTTGTAGCTTACTTTCATCTATAATCTTAATTAGTTTATTTTGCTTGAAATACGCTTGTTTTGACGATTTGTAGCGATATTTCAACAAAGGTGTTTACAAACGAAAAATCCAAATTTTTGCATATAATTATCACCATAATTATTGACAAAAATTAAAAAAAAATCGGAAAAAATTTCGCTCCAAAAGTGTCGAATATATTACCTGTAGAGACAATTTTACTGCAGAAATCTTATTTTACCCGATGCAGGCATCGTTGAGCTTCTGACATCTCTAACCTCACGCGACGACCATGGCCACATGTGCCCGCGCTGCATGAGCAACGCTTTTCGCTATAAACAATAACAATGCAGAAAAATCGCTATTTTTCGATTTTTAGATCTGCCCATCCTGGGACCATTTGTAGAATACCGTTTCACTTTAAAGTAAAATTTTTAAAAAAATATTAGATGAACAATTGTATGATAATCTTGTGGCAAATAACTTGTTATCCTATCACCAATTTAATATCAAACAATAAATAATTTAAAGTCAAATATAATTTGAATGGCTACAAAACATAACATTAAATGGAAAGTGAGAATGTTATTTACTATATACAAAAACATTAACAAAATAACAATCCGTTCTTCTGAGAACTGCTGTTGTTCATGCTCAATAGTGAATAAGGTTGTGCAGACCAAGAGAATGGCTGAGGCAAGGAAGGGGCTTGAATCTTAGGAAAAGATGCTAACTTTGGTGGTGTACATATTTTCTTGGTCTCAGCAAGTGCTACTAAAACTGCATCTTTAAAGTCCTAAATCCACGTGGCCATGTTGCTCAGTTGATTGTACCAATCTGATACTGTGAGGATTTTAGACCCAGTCAGAATATACAGAATATTTGAAATGTCATATGTAAAAATACATTGATTTCTTCTAAATTAGGTGTTTAGAAACACAAAATATTGCTATACTGTGTATACAGAATATTGCTACTGTTTTTAAGAATCCAAAGGTTATTGAATTAACTAGGGCACAAGTTAAGGCCCAAGAGGTATTCTCTAATTTAGACCATATTGTGGCCGGTATATATCAAATGGTAATATCTTTCAAACCTTTATATTCTTCTTTGGTTTCTTATTGTCAGCACTGGTCACCTCTAATTTGCTCTTCTTGGCTTTATTATCATCATTGTTATTATCACAGGGCTGCTCAATTCAAGCTAAGTTTTCACTAACTCATTTTTGCTATCTGTGAAAAAACACAAATACTCGCTTCATAAAATTTATTAATAGACAAATACTTTATTACTATACACAAATAATTACTAATTTTCCGATGCGCGATTAGATTTCGCTCGCATGATACGGCGATTCCTCCAAGAGGAACAAATAAACAGTTCTGTTGATGCTGTTCGATTAGGTTTAGATTTAATTTGGGTCAGAATATATTTAATACATGTAGATTCTGGTCCTATTTTAATAATATCGCTGCTATTTTGCCGTATAACAAGATGTGGTCGTGTATGAGCGCGTTGACACGTCACAGTTTGCACAGGATTGAAGAACGCATCATGCGGTTTATTTATATTTTTAAGCAATTGAACTTCTATACTTTTTAAGCACGATGTGCTTCTGAATTTCGCGATCGAACAACATTTAGGTTGGCAAGTGGCAACGCATCTAAATGAGTATGAACTGTACTGTTCATGTTCAGATATTGAAGACTGGTACGTGCACGGCACGCCGGAGTTAACGCCAGAACAGGCGTCTTGGCTTTATATGCTCTTTATACCGACGCCTAATTGTCGCCGGAAGCAATCAAGAGCCGGGGCAGAATATCGATAAAAGGCAATTTAGTTTACTGAAGGAAACAAGGAAAAAAAATTATAATATAGTTATAGTTATAGTTTAATGATTCACATGCACACATTGCAGTCACAATGACTGAATTACGTGGTGATATACAAGAGAGAAAGACTAAAAATTAAGTTATATTAATTTTACAACAACTGGGCAAGGATAGTGTAAAAAAAATTTACAGTGAGGAGAATAGATTATAAAATTGAACGGCATGATTCCTGGCACGCTTCCACGGTTGAGGGGAGGTTAGATTGAGAGTCTCTATACTGTACAGGACTTCCCACGTTATCGAATCAACAAATTTGACAAGATCGTTTGGGGGATCGAGGTCATTGACCATGATCAAAAAAAGTAGAGGGCCTAATTTAGTCCCTTGCGGAACTCCAGCACAAATATGCTTCCAAGGAGAATAGTCCTGACCAATCTTTGTCCGCTGTAATCTGTTAGATAAGAAGGCGGTGTTCCAACTAATGAGGACTGGGTGTATTTACAATTGTTGGAGTTTTTTTAGTAAGATGTTATGATCAATTCGGTTAAAGGCCTTTAAGAAATCTAACAAACAAATCCACACAAATGCCCCTGGATCATCGCACGCTTCGTACCACTTCGTACCACGTTTCTAAAATAATTGAAAAAGCTGTTTCTATTTATTTCCATTTTAATATATACCGGGTGTTCTAAAAAAGTACTCTGGTTTGATTCATAATAACTGTTTAACCAGTGAAGCCATTACACTGAATTAAATTTCATTAGATAATCTATAGTAGAGAGAATATCAAATTGGATTTTAGTACCTAACAATTATATTTTATCTAAGTTAATAGTCTATTTATAGATGTGTTTAAAGTATGCGAAATTGCATGCAGCGTAGTAGCAAAAATGAGAGGAACATTGCTCGCATTTTTGAGAAACATTTCCACATTATCCTTTCATTTCAATCTCAAAACTTATATTTCCATAAATTGAGCAATACTTTTTCGGGTATTTTGTATATTTTAGAGACATCCCGAAATAAAATCGATTTTGAAAAGCAATATCTTCATGAATTTTCGTAAAAAATACAACTAGACTTTCCTCTAACTAATGATAGTTCTTTCATTTTGATAAGAGGCTATTTTGAATCAAACGGGAGTTCTTTTTTGGAACACCTGGTAGAACATTTAGCACATAAATGCTTTCGTAGTGGAGGAGCCTGCACATAATAACATTCTTACTGAGTAGGCATCTCCTCAGCGTTCAACACAGTTGATGCGTGATGAAATTCAGCTGGATAATATGTCACGACGGTTTGAAATTAAGTACAAAGCGCCTTACAAAGTATTCTAATATTATCTTATTAACAGGCAACTCGTTAGCAACTGACTATATCATATCAAGTTATGCTGTCCATTCTGAAATCGAATGCTCTTTGAAATGCCTGGAAGAAGAAACTTGTGTGGCTTACAACTACAGACCTATATTAGCACATGGGGAAATAAACTGTGAAATCAGCAATAGTTCTTCACATAAAGATATCAAGGTTTTTGCAAAGGGAGAGTGGATACTTTACCAAGACTTGGAAACATTTTGCGTGAGTACACAATTTACCGCGGCTGAAAAAAAACGTATTATACTTTTGTTTTCCGCATGCAACTGTCTTGAAGATTAGATCTGGAGCCGGTTTATATAAAAAAGTAGTTAACTTTTAACTTGAAATTGCCATGGGCAACCATTTGCAATGGGTAAAAACAGTGGTGGATCTAGGGGTGTGTAGAAAAAGGGTGGGGTAGGTGATGTGGGGTTGGGTGTCGTGGAGTGGAATGGGATGGGATGGGATGGAATGGAATGGAATGGAATGGAATGGAATGGGATGGAATGGAATGGAATGGAATGGAATGGGACGGGGCAGAATGGAGTGGAGTGGAGTGGAATGGAATGGAATGGGATGGGATGGGATGGAATGGGATGGGATGGGATGGGATGGGATGGGATGGGATGGGATGGGATGGGATGGGATGGGATGGGATGGGATGGGATGGGATGGGTGGGGTGGGATGGGATAGAGTAGAATAGAGTAGAATAGAATAGAATAGAGTAGAATAGAGTAGCATTGCAACATTGCAAAATCATTCACCTGCTCCTAAAAATTGTTCTAATATCTTTCGTCATTTTTAAAATTAAATTGAGTTAATGATGTTAAACTTGCCAAACTGAAGGCAAATTTTTGGTTTCGTTTTTTTTCATTGTCCCTTTTTTATTCCTTATCGCAATAATTTAATGTAATCCACGCAGGGCATTGTTGAGGGAAAGCTATGAACGATTGGAATTGCTAATTTGATGAGCTTTTTCGGCGACATTAATTAAATTATGATGAACACTTGTTTCAGGGTTGCCAGGAGGATCCATCTTTGGAGGAAACGTTTAAAGACATCTGTAAAGAACCAAATATCATCTGCCGTTGCTTTTACGATAAAATGGAAAAAACATGTCAGCGTGAAATCTGTAAGATAATATAAATAGTCATACTTATTATAATAGTATAGAGTATATACCACTCATACATGCATAAGTATTATCACTGCATCGTCATCATGATATTTGCATATATTTTTACGAGCTGCAAGTGGGCAAGCTAAAAGAGGCTGTTAAGTGTTATAATAATATAGTATTAATTACGAAAGGAAATGGAAGAGGGAAAATAGGAAAATTACCATTAGAGTTAAAAATAGAGTTTTGGAATTTCCAAAATTCTAAATTAACATAACTACGATGTAAAAAGTAAAAAATTCAATAATCTTTCAATTTTATATAGGTCTTAACCAGAACTGTTTCATCTTAATTTAGGGTACATTGAACCAGCGCAAAGATCGTTAATATTCTCTTTCATACAAAAAAAAAAAAATATATATATATACAGGCAGTCAAAAAGAACTGCTCAAAACAAGTTAAAATGCTCTCAAATGAACGTAACTGGCCTTACACCGGCGTGGCATACTTTCTGTTAAGGTGGTAATCTTCACTGTCAAAAGAAATTCATCCTATGGACAGTCTTTACAGCAACGCATAAATTATGGACGCTTTATGAATGATTTGCTTTCTTGCACTATCCCCTTGATATTTTTCCACAGATTTTCAATAGGGTTAAGGTCTTTTGATTGTTCAGGCCAATCCGTTTCTGTCACTCCCTCTTCCTGAAACCATTGTTTGACTATCTTGGAAGTGTGGCAGGTTGCATTACATTACTGAAATATTGTTTGGAATAAGAGAATTATCCAAAATGCCTATGAAGCTTTCTTCTATATTCGCTTCTTTTTTATGAATTTGTATCTAAACAGTTCTTTTTGACCGCTATAGTGTACAATAAAAAATAGATTGTCACGATTCCTGTTTCATAGGATAATAGTAAAATTTGAGCAGTTCTTTTTGACCGCCAGTGTATTTTTTTCTTTTTTAGACTTTACCATTTATATTTCCGATCACAACAAATGTTTAACTCACAGAAGCGATGACATCGTTGTAGGAAAGCCCTGTGACCCAAATGACGCAAAGCAAAAATGGTCGTGGATAAATGGAGGAAATCAACTTATGAACGAAAACTCGAGTAAATGCCTGGATATTGAGGGTGAGATTAAATTAGAAAGCCTGGTGCGCGTTTCCTCTTGTGATAAGCTTGTGTCTGGCCAGCACTGGTCATGTTCTGAAAAATTCTTTATGGTCGGTGGAACAACTTTGAGGTTACACCTGGGCTCGATGTCTTATCTTCGGGCTTCTCTAAGTTATAATACTGGCCCATGGAATTATTGGGAAATTTTTGGTTCAACAGAAAACATATGTACTGCAAAGCCATGAGGTAATTCCTGAAGTTTTCATTTTTGTCGAACAGTACTTTATGTAGAAAAATGAAAGAATAATATAAATGTAAGGTAATATCCAAAAAGATACAGCGTATAACAAGGTACTTATAATTTAATGCTTGGCCGTAAGCAATTAAGCTAGTGTGCGATTGGATCTTATACCTGGACAGTTATCCAAAAAAATGTTATAGTAATTAGAATTGCTTATCTGTTAGTTTTAAATGGTTAATGAAAAAAAAAATGAGTCGTGTGTAATTTGTAATTAGTAATGCTATTATAACTTTTCGTATATTTTAATGTTTTGATGTTGTTAAAGTTGCCTGCAGGTATGACGCTTTAAGGTCCACAGAGACCGGAAGGAACTTCTTTTCTGGAAGGAAATTTCGAGAACAATGCACGCTAGACAATGTAATATCCTGCAGTAATTGCCAAGAATATCATAGCAAGATGAAAAAAACTGCATGTGGTTGGTTTTGGTAACTAAAGAATTCGCAAAAATTTGTCTGATTATATTATGAACGTTCATGGTAAACGAAAAAAATATTTATTTTCTATCCGAAGGCATCTTTTACATTATATTTTAATCAATTTTATGAGTCAATTTTTCGTATACTCTTAACAGCATCGAAATGAAAAATCTTATTAAAAAGAAGTTTTATAATTTAAATATTCAGTCATGCTGACGTGAATCCAAATTTTAATTTAGCCAGTCGCACGTTTGTAAACGTTTGCTTGTTACCAGTTTTAACTCGTCTTAAACTCATGCGCATAATTTACAAAAACCGCCAACGTCCATGACATAATGGCGGACAACTTTCATTTCGCATTTGCATTCCCGGGCGTATTTAAACTCTTCGGGCAGAATTGGTACCCTTGCCCGGTGATTCGCAGCGGCTCGTGGACTAAAAAATACTGAAGCTACATACGTTGCCTTGTCAGACACGCAAGTTGCCCGTTGTAAGTAACAAGATTTAAATATATTAGTATAGGTAATAGTATGGTTTCGAGTGCAATTTGGAAAAAACATACACCAGTGAGTTTTTTAAAGACTAAAAATAGCAGGAGTCAGAAGGTCGAGTGCTATTTTGGGTCTTTGAAAAACTTACAAATGTATGCTTTTTTCCAAATTGCACGAGAAACAATACTATTATTTGTTAATAATATACAGGAAAATGTTCGAGACAAACACACTTACGAGTATTTCTTGTATTTCTTGTCCTCATGTACATTTTGTTGATAGAGTTTTCCTTTATATTGAATATTTCCTTTAGGGACGTTATATCTTTTAAATATTTTGTTGTGAAACCATTGTTTTAATGTTAAAAAGTCACGAAGATCCAAATTTCCGTGCTTGATTTCCGTCGCCTTCTTGGTTTGTTTTCTTTGGGGCAAGTATTATATTTTTCCCGCCAAAACGTAGCTCAAATTTGATTGGCTGATATATTTGACAGCATATATTTATGATTCTTGCACTGTTGTTACAGATTTTTGCATTGCTGTTCGGGATTAATTGCACTGAAATCGACCATTCACAGTCGAGAAACATTTTCATGTATATCATTATCAAGTCTAAAATCTTCCGACTTTCTTATACACGGTTAATTCGCGATCGGTTGAAAATTTATATATATATATATATAACAAATTATATATATATATATTAATATATATATATATATATATATATATATATATATATTCCTCATTTTTCAAAATCTTGCGAATTTATCAAAATTTTGCGAATGACAGTTATGCAGTCAGTTTGAAAATACAAATTTTTGTCTGAACCAATCAAGAGCTTAGTATTTGACACTTGCGCATGCGCATAACGTAGAGCACCGTCAATTGCGTGAGGTCCATTGCATAATAGCGGATTACTTTGATTTCGCCTTTGCACATCGTGGGTGTAAATATCAGAGCGGAATTAGTATACCCTCGCACGATGCTCCGCACCGGCTCGGGGATGATTCATTAATTTTGTACGAATGCTGTACTACAATTTCCTTCGAAGTTTCCATTCCTTTTTAAACAGATTCCCCTTTAAAAATAAATGCGTAAAAATGAAAAATATTTTGAAAAAAGTTTTACAATTTAAAATATCAGTTATACTGACGCAACCCAAAATTTTAATTTAGCCAATCGCACGCTTGGAAACATTTGCTAGTTACCAGTTTCAACTCGTGTTAAACTCATGCATACGCATAACTCCATACCAAAAAACACACATGCAAACCATATGTGTTTTTTATGTGATTGACATGTGCATACATGTGATCATATGTGGTTCACATGTGATCATAATCATGTGATTCACATCTGAATATTCATGGTATAATGGAGTCTACATGTGAACCACCTGAGATCAGGGCCGTAACTAGAACGATAATTGGGGGGGGGGGTGTTTATTCATATATTCAGTACTACCCGACGGATTTCCATTGTGAGCTATTGCACTTACAAAAGAAATCCGTTGGGCAGAACTGAATATATGAATAAACATCCCCCCCCCAATTATCGTTCTAGTTTACGGCCCTGCCTGTGATGCGCATGTGCTTATAGTTACATGGGAATATCTGTCAACACATATGGTTCATATGTGATCACAAGTGCTTCACATGTGAAAATATACTTACAAATGCGGCCCACGTGTGAATAATATCATGGATAGTTAAAAGACTTTAATCATAGTGATTTTACTAACCAATAATAGTGATTTTATTATCCCTGGTAATATGTACATAATTTATAACGTATTTGTTAATCGATATCATAGACAATCCAGAAGATGTCTTCTGGATTAATTGGAATGTCTATAATAGCCGACATATAAGGTTATTTTGGGAACCAGGTTGCGCATTCGTTTCAAAATTCAAATTTTTTACAACGACATGCATTCTTGGCGGTTCTACGGGGAGATTGCAATTTTATTTGATAAAAGACATAAAATCGGATAATCTTTGTCACTCTCCTAGTACGATTGAGTCAAATAAGACAAGCATCTTAAGGAAAGAGTAAATTATATTATTTTAAAGACGAAAAGTGGTAAGCGTGAGTATATGGAAATATTTTTCTGCACGTTTAACCACTGTAGTCATAGCAACTCCCAACGGCCGTATATTTCAAAGATTAAAAGTTTACCCTCATATTTTTGTGAAAGAAATTGCAAAAAATACGAAAAACCTATTTACCAGTTCAAACTCGTGTTAAACTCACGCCCAACGTTCATGACACAATGGCGGACAACTTGAATCTCGCATTTGCATTCCCGGGCGTAATTAAAATCTATCTCGGGGGGGAATTGCTACCTTCGCCTTGCGCTTTGCGCCGGCTAGGTGAAAAGACGCGTTAAGCCCGTTCTCCACTGGGCGAATTTATTCGCGCGAACAGGTAAAAACTAGAAAGCGATCCTACTTTTTCGCAAGCCAATCACATCACTGTATTCCAGATATCGCTTCGCTTCGCGTGAATAAATTCGCCAATAGGAAAAAGGGCGTAAATGTGTTCATCAATGAGATGAAGTTCATTAATTTCGTAGAGTGATTTTTGAAAACCATTATTTTCCTTCAGCTGTTGCTATGATGCACTGATGTAAATAATACACTGAACAGCATGTGCCTAAGCAAGTCACCGCTGGGCGGCCTGCATTTAGGCTTTTAAAGAGGGCCCTTAGAGCCTGCAAAACGACAGATGTGTGCAGGCTAGGATTCAGCGTTGTAACTGCACCTTTCATTGTCCAGCGATGCATGGATGCATCAGTATATAAAAACTTTACTACAATTTCGTAATTCCACGATTCCACGTTACTGTCATTTCCGTGTATGTTTGTAAAAAGGCATGAAGAGCATTTAACAGTCAGCACTTTCGCAAAGGTGCACTAAAAAACAAAGCAGTTGATTCGCAGGTAACCCATGCTTCAACGGAAGAACTTGCGTGAACAATGTAAACTGCATCAGGCGAACGGTATCGTTGTATTTGTTCGAAACATCTTGGAATTAGAGGTGAAAGTTGTTAAGATCTCCCAAAAAGCTGTCATCTTTATATGCAAATCCTGGAAGTCAATCTGGAGTGTACACATTGTACGATGATCTAAACCAAGCTTTTCGGTCTTTTTGCGACTTCACACTGGTTGATGGCAAAGTGTGGAGCTTGGTCAGGTCATTTTCTTTATGTTTGTCTAAAAACTAGCACAGTCGACTTTTTAACCTATAATAGAAACCATGTTACTGATAAGTGCATTTTGGTGGAATACTTGAACATCCCTGGTGGATCATGTACTGACTGTACAGTGCATGGCCATAATGCAGACCTCGGTGTACAACATCTACACAAGCGTAGATGTAAATTCAAAGTAGTGCTGCGACTGGGAATACCCCAATGGGCATCCCACGTGTGAGAAAAATCTCGGGGGTTACGACTGTTATAATAATAATCACAGTTGCACCTCGTCTCCAGCATCAACCTCTAATATCTGGTATGGATCTTAGTGTGTTTCTTAGTATATTTTCATTATCGAATGATGATTGAATTATTACTCCTCATTTGTTTAAAGACAGGATATTTCAAATGCAAATGCAAAAGCACCTTTCACTTGAAGCAAATAATTATATGATGCACCGTATCACAAGGAACTATTCGAACAATTTGTGCACACAAGTCTTGGCCTGATCCATCATTCATTGCCTGCTATAAATATTGCTATGTTACACACCCCCTATTGTATATGTATTTTATTCATGTATCTTTCCAAAATTCCAATAGTTATTGATAGCACGTATCATATTTAACAGTTAATCTGCGAACTCGAGTCGTATATGGCCGATAGCCAGCTCGGCGCGTATGTTTTATTTTATACACAAACTTTGTCGCCCTTTTGGTGTGCTATTATCAACTAAAGTTTGGATCTCTATTTCACTCAACTCCCCAAATCTTTCAGCCATTTTGTTAACTTTCTCTACTAGACAGATATGAGCTAATATCTGTCTAGTAGCCAACCAACGAAATTGCAGCAATTTGATGACAGATCACTTTGTGCACTTAAAAATTCCTCCAAAAGCGGCGTACAATTAATGCAATTAATTCAAGTCAGGCCTGATTTATTGCCTTGTATAAATATTGCCATGTTAGATACCTTTGCATGTACATGTATTTTATTAATTTACTTCATTTAATC